TGAGCGCACGTGCGCCAAAACAAAACGGGTGGGCCAAAGGTAGGCAAACCATGGGCACAGAAGCAGAAACTCAAGGTAGACTCTGGGGTTGGGCTAAGACTGGTTTGTTTTTGTTGAGTTTCTTATATAACAAGAAGCAACATTCTGGGTGCCACAGATTCGATTTCCCCCACCTGCCAGGTGAGGGTCTCTAGATTTTAATACGACAGCCCGCGTCCTTCTTCCTTCCTTCCTGCCCTCCTCGCCTCCTTCGCCAGATTCCTTGCCAGTCTCTTCTAGACAGAAAAGGGTTTGACGGGCAAACAAAAATCTGCCAGGTACTTTGGTGGAGAGGTGCTGTATTCTCGCCTTTACCTGTCAGGGGTTCCAAATCCTTTTGGTCCTGGAGTTGGCGGGGCAATTTTGGACATGCCGCACCTATCAGTGTTTCCCATGGTTTTAAGATCATCAGCTGAAGAATTGACACGCTTCGTGCAACGACAGGCAGTGCTATGCGAAAATTTTGTAAGGGTGATGTTTGATTATTCACAGGTGCGGGAAAGGTGAACCAAGAATTCCTGTGTACCCTTTGCAGTCGACAAGGGGCTTTCAGGTCTTGTTTGGACCTACCTGCTAGAAGGCAATCCCAAGGGATCCCATGCAAGAACCGGCATGCGCGCGGCTTGCCATCAAGGTATGGCGGACAAAACTTGGAGTACAAGGCGGCTAGCCCAAACCGGAGCGACCGATCCGCACATGCTCAACATGATAGGGTTCCATCATCATGAACATCGATCTATCACGAGTACTCCCATCAACTATCGGCTGTCTTTGGAACTCTCGTGTTGAGCCAAGTCTTTGAAAATGGCCACACCAGGCACTCTGTGAGACTGAGTGCTTCGACTGCTTGAGGGGAGCATGGATGCCAGGCTGGGCTTGCTGCGACACGAACAAAACATGACAAACATATCATGGCAAGGTAGACATGTCAATCAGTATTGAGACGACATCATCATGTCAAATCAAGTCATATTAAGTACGTTACCTGACTACAACATGAATATTCATGACAGATAGGGGACGATCCTTAATGCCAGTGATTTCCCAACAGAACCTTCACCAGATAGCAAAGTTTTGCCAAAGCAGCTTGCAGAACCGGGCGGTAAAGTGCTACTTTAGACAGCTTTCCACTGGGAGATGGATGATTCTCGTATTAGATGATGGCCCGTTCGAGGGTCTTGCAACCCTGCGAACACCATGTGCTATTTCTTTATGATCCCCCAAGAGCCAACAACTCCCAGACTGCAGGGCGAACCAGTTTGGCACGAGCCACATTTGAGTATAGTTCCAAACAGTCTGTATAATCATGAACATGGGTTTATGTCTATAGGATATATATATATATATATCATATCTTTATTTTGTTAATATCATATAAATCACACATCTTTAATTCTATTTGTAAAGTAATCCGCAAGAATCTATCGAATGAATAGAACGTAGATATCTGAGATATATCTGAGATATCTCAACTGTCATTTAAATGTCCCACACATGTCTGGTTTGCACGAGCAAAACGTCATGTTCTGGACCTGTCATGTTCCGTGAGGCCCCGACCTCAACGTGCCCCGACGCAGCTGTGCCTCTGCGCAGCTGGGCGGCCGGATCTATGTGCGATGCCCGGGCATTTCTGATATTTCTGTTTTAATGTTGGGACTTTGAACTTTGCTCATTCCATGCTGGATGATGGATGAAGGGGATTCCCATTGCTAAAATGGGTCCAAATTGAAACACTATCTACGGTAGTAGTGTGCAACATGTATCTACATGCTTGTGTCTTGCATCGATGCTGTGAGAAAATTGCATTGGTGCTGTTTCGGATACACATCAGTTCGGAGAATCGGAGAATCGGAGAATCGGAGAATCGGAGAATGGGTTTGTTCAGACTGGGCTGGACGCAATGGCTTCTTCGTGACAAGGCTCTAGGTGGTTTTGATGGCACGCAGATCCTCAGCCATGTGGAGGCCACAGTGATCTGGTGCCCAATGATGCCCATTAAAGACAGACCAAAGACACGGAAGGATTTGTTCAATCAGAACTGTACACAAAATGCCGGTTGTTCACCACAGTTTTTGTCAACCTATCATTTCTTGGGAAGCTCTCATGACTGGATCTTGGAAGATCCCTTTACCGGTGATGGTTGCTTGGACGCACTCGCAGTTTTTAAATTTCCAACTTGGTCTTGGATTTCTTGGGCACTGATCGGATTTCCTCCTTTTGACAGCCGTGCGTTTGCCTTCGGCTATATGCTTGAACAGAATTGGGGTGAAGAAAATACTGAACAGACGGAAGGCCTTTGATCCGCGCATGAAGAGCTGGATGCCACTGGAGCACATGACGGCTGCTTGGTTGTTGGTTTATCACCCCTAGCAACCCTGCAGGGGTTTGCCACAAAGGGAAAACATCCCACAGATTGGACAACATGTATTTTCCGAGATTTTCTCCAGATGTTTGTTCGAGAAGGCTGATGTTTTGGGCCCATTACCTGGCACATGGCGCCGCAGCCAAGTTGACAGTTTATTGAAGTTTATTGCTGAAACACTGAGGTTCCACGCTCCTCTGCTTCTGCAGCAGCCTTCAATGGGCAGCTTTGGGTTCGGAAAACCCAGACACCTGCGTAAAAACAGGAAAATTCTGGGGAAGGTGGGGACTCTGAGGGTTTGAGCATATGCCATGCATGCAAGAGGGAATGCACAAACCTGACCAAGCGGGCTTACAGAGAAACCATTTCTCAAGTCAAGTGCTGATTTTTTGGCCTGTCTAAACTGCCAAAACACAAGCCAAGGTCTTGGGTGGTACCAGTGGCTCGCGCTTGCGAAGTGTTGAGAGGCACCAACACACCCTGTGTGCATGCTCTGCTGCGAACTGGAAGGACCTTTGACGAGAAACTTGGGGATTTGAGGGATACCCTTAACGCATACTGTAAAGCCATTTCATCATCTTTGCTTTTTTTGTCCGACCAAGAGCGTGGAGTTTGGGTGGAGTTTGTTGTGCCTGCCCATTCACCGCGGCAGGTATGATCCACGCGCTGGAAAGTGGGAGTCAGGCCATTTGGTTGATTTATGGGGTAGATTGACATCTGACTTAAAGTGCAGGGAAGACAATTTGGAATGATCTCAACAGCAGCCAAGCTATATATCACTTGAGATCTAACTTCCCTGGCGGAGGATATCGTGCAAGCAATGCATCCCTAGCCATTTTGGTTCCAGCTTGTACAGGTTCCTTGTGGCGCACTGCCTGCACTGTTCGACCGCTTGTGCTTGGTGTTTCATCATCAGTTGAGGCGTGGTGTACCGTCATGTCAAAGGTGCTGATTGTCCGTGGCGGCTTAGTCGGTTTATCTGCTGCGTGCGAGTTGTTGGAACGTGGTTGCAGTGTGACTATCTTGGAGAAAAGTCACAACCTTGGTGGCAACGCTTCCAAAGCCACCACCGGCATCGCAGCACCTGGCAGCGAGCTGCAAAAGGCCAACGGTGTCGCTGATTCAGGAGCTGATCTGGTTGCTGCAAAGCCCATCTGCAAAGAGATGGTGCAGCAAGGCTCCAAGGACGTGGATTGGCTGTTGAACTTGGCTGCAAGGATGGGATGGTATTCCGTCTCATTCGAGGACACGGCAAAGTCCCACGAACTCTTGGGACCAAAGACCACTTTCCAGGAGCTGTAGTGACATATGCCGTGATGCACCAGCTGGAGAAGATTGCCAAAGCTAAGCCTAGCAAGTTGAAGATGATTGTGACCTCTGCGACTGTGTCCAAATTGATTACCGAAAGCCGTCCTTGGCTACTCAGTGGCACTTGTGCTTTTGCTCACTCATCTCTGCTTGGGATGGAAGAAGTTGGTGCCCGCTGATGCCATGCAATTTCCTCGTGATCATCAACAGACGGTGATCTACATCGGTTGGACGCTGCAGCACTTGCATTTGTGTATGGCTCAGTGCCGTGGTATGTATATATCAAAAAGCCTGCAGTGATGAAAGACATTGTGTCGCCACTTCCAAAGTAGTTGGTACACCTGGGTTTCGTTTTGCATCGTTTTGCTATGTCCAGAAGGCTGTCATGTTGATCTAGGTATCAGGCATAGCTAGCTGCCCCTGCTGATAAGCACAGTGAGGCGAGGTCACCCACATAGTGATCTGGCTACTGAAGGTTGCGCTTTTATTAAGCAAGGCCGAGAAAAGAACTGTGAAAGTGCAAGCAGAACGCATTCTGTAAAATCAACTGTGTCTGAGACCAGAATCTGTAGAAAGTAGAAACGTCAATCTTCATAAAAGATGGAATCCCACGAGTTTTCAGGTACAGTTTCGACATGTTTCGACATATTTCGACATGTTTCGACATTTAGTTTTGCTTACTTGTCTTTTGTCAGCCGAAACTGGAAGAATCTTTCTCTGTCGATTCATTCCGCAGCACTTCCGCTGTCATAAATCTTTGCAGGTGCAGATTTGATAGAAGTCCGGATCTTGCAGCCACCTGTAGCGTCCCCATAGAGGCACTTTTTTTTGGGTCAAAATTTGCCTCAAATCTCTGAAACTTATATTGCTAAAAGTCCACGGTCCATGAGGCTTATTTTTATTGATTTTCTAGATTCCAATGATTCCACTCCTTCATCCTATGTGTATCTGTAGATTTAGGTCAAAATGGTCAAAATTTGCCTCAACCCCCCAAGGAGCTTTCACTGAGGTCCGGTCTACTGCCCGTGCCTGTTGCTGCTTGGACCGGCTCTATGCCTATGGAGGAACGGATCAGAATCAACGAGTGCATAGCAGTTTGGAGGCCTACAACCCAGAGGTGCGCCCGCTGAAACGGCTGGGGATGGGTCACCTTCTATGGAGATTCGTTTGGAATATCATGGAATATCTAGAAAACTTGAGCGAAAACTCTACAGCGTCGAGATTTGCCATTTTCCACCATGAGTTCAGCACTGATTTCACTTGCCAGGCAGGCTCTTGGATTTTCCGCAAGTCCATGCAAGTGCCAAGGCTGTGGTATCACTGAATGCGCCTGCTGTTGTCACCTTCAAAGAGTGCAGAGCGAGAAGTGCATCACGTGTGGCAAAGTGCACCTTTCAATGCATTTCATGCCAATCCATTTTTGCCTACAGATCCACCATGTGTTGCATACTGCATATTAGCATATTTTTCAATCTTGCACAGGCAAGCCTCCATGTGCCATGTGTGCCATTGTCAAAACTGGGGTAAATGGCCCATATTGAGATTATTGAGGGATAGTCATCAATCCATTAACAGGGTTTTGAATTTATATATCCTATAAATATAATGACATATCATTAAATACCATACCGACCATACCATTCATATGTTTGCTACCTCCAGTGAAAATATACCTTGCGATGCCAGGATGGATTTCGGTAGCTGTGTACTGAGTGACTCTATCATGGCCAGTGGAGGACAGCACGGCGAGGCCAGCTAAAGCCTTCTATCAAAGATGTGTGTCATGTAGAGATTCAGGCAGGACGAAGATCCCAAAATTCCATAAAATTCCCAAACGTGTCAAAATATCACATGCCACATGATGACATGTCGTCTCACCCTGACATGCCACATTGATATACATTGATCACGTTGTCAGCTGAGAACGCAGGTGCTATCCTCCACAGAGTTTTATCGACCTGAGCTAGATGATTGGCAGTGACTCGGCTCTGGTGCTATGCTGCTCCGACGTTCAACAGCAAGTGCTAATCTGGATTTTGTGGATGCATCCTGGATGCGAGATGTTTAACATTGTTTAACAATATTCTTGATTTTTCTTCTGGCTTGTAAAGGACCACACCAGTATGTGTGCTCGGTTTGAGTCTTACAGTGTGCGTCGCTCCGGCCAGGTTGGGACCGCCCATGCTTTCACCAAGATATGGACACCAGCTATTGCTGGTTGGGTATCCCAGCAGCTAACCTGGAAGGATTTGTGGTTTTGAGGAACCTGGATTTTGGGATGGGGTCAAGACTCTGACCCCAGTCATTGACCCGTTTAGAACCTATGACAGCCTGCCCGATTGCAGACCGAAGTAGACCCACAGCCCTATGTGCGAGCTTAAGCGCAGAATGCAGCACAGCAGGCCCCTTTTCAAACTTTTAGGATTCTGATATCATGGATTTTTGAAAGTGAGATGGATTTGTGGTCGTTAGGTCAACCTGTGACGCGCACCGGGCACAAAGGCATGGCCCCAGGCTGGATTCTGGATGCTCCATGAAGAAATGAAACCTTTTTGAATACGAGCTACGGCCTAGGGACATTCAAAGCAAGCGGGTCCATAGTCTATTTTCTTGAATTCTGGGAGAGCTTATCTGATTCTTGACAGCCGTTCTGAGGGTCATGGTCAGCAATGAGGGCTTGAATGGATCCACAGCCTCGACCCATACCTCGACCTCGGGTTGGTGTAGCTCTTAAAGCGAATCGTGCCCCTGCTTCCAGGCGCGAGAGCAGCGGATTTGAGATGGCGAATTCGTCTTTGTTTCGCTAATGACAAGCTTCTGAAGGATGAAAAAGGACACGCTTCTGGATATTTATTTTTGCCAGTTGGTTTTGAGTTTTGCATCTCTTTTCAGACAGGGTTGCAAGAGCTATGCCAGCTATGCAATTCACTTTTCCTGTGGGCCGCACTCGAGACTTCCTAGCAATCCCTGAAGCTGCTATCGCCATTTGTCCTGGATCTAAGCCAGAATGTTTTCAAATGGTTCCCCTAGGCTGCACGAAATTACTACAGTATCTATACTAGCTGTCATGGCTCCTACTAGTGGTTACCTACACTTCGGATGGAGATCGACTCAGTCTGTGGAACATGGCACAGTTTGGGAATCACTAAGAGTCCTACGACAGTGTTTGCAGGGTTTCATGCAGGGTTTCATGATGTTAAATGCAGTGGTTTTTCAAGCACTTTGAGTTCACCAGACATCTCTCTATTGAGGTCTTCTTAGCCGGTTAGCCAACGTGCTAGATCCAGAGACCTTCCCATGACTGACCCATGGCATGGAAGGCGTCCGACCGACGTTTTCTTGATTTGTCACATTTGTCACATGTTGATTTTCTCCCATATTTCTCTGTCTATGCTCGGACATCTCGGACCCTGTCACAACCTGTCACGGCCTGTCATACTGTCAGAGCAGAAAGAAACAGATGGTGCTGGTGCTGCGTTCCTTTTTTCTATTTGCTTGGACGATGGCTAAGCCTAAGCTCCTGACCAAAAAGCATGATGGATTGAAGCAACATGGTTGCGGATGTTGCAGCAAACTTGATCCATTTTCGCATTTGATGTTTTTGTAATCCAATGGCCTCTGAAGGTTCCAATCATCTTCCCTCCCGATGTGGACGAGGCTCCAAATGCCTCGAAATGGGGACTTCAATCAAGACACTTAGTTGAGTGGAAGAAAGCATTGCGGAGTTGCCCGGTAGGATAATTTACGAGTACACAGACATATGCATATACCATCATATACCATACAAATTATACCATTATATATATATATATGAATAATTGAATAAATGAATAAATGAATATATGAATAAATGAATAACTGAATAAATGAATAAATGAATAAATGAATAATTGAATCAATGAATAAATGAATACATACATACATGCATACATACATACATACATACATGCATACATACATGCATACATCCATGCATACATTCATGCATACATCCATGCATGCATCCATGCATGCACACATCCATGCATGCATACATACACACATGCATGCATACATACATACATGCATACATACATGCATACATCCATGCATGCATACATGCATACATGCATGCATACATACATGCATACATATGCATGCATACATCCATGCATGCATGCATACATGCATACATACATCCATACATACATGCATCCATGCATACATACATACATACAAACATGCATACATACATGAATACATACATGCATACATCCATGCATGCATGCATACATACATCCATACATACATGCATACATACATGCATACATACATGCATACATCCATGCATGCATGCATACATGCATACATGCATACATACATGCATACATCCATGCATGCATGCATACATCCATGCATGCATACATACATATATACATCCATCCATACATACATACATGCATGCATCCATGCATGCATACATACATCCATACATACAGTACATACATACATGCATACATACATACATGCATACATACATACATCCATGCATGCATGCATGCATACATACATCCATGCATGCATACATCCATACATCCATACATACATACATCCATACATCCATGCATCCATGCATCCATGCATCCATCCATCCATCCATACATCCATACATCCATACATCCATACATCCATACATCCATACATCCATACATCCATACATCCATACATCCATACATCCATCCATCCATCCATCCATACATACATATGTGTATGGTGCACCCCCCCGGAGACCCACCTTTCTACTATTTATCGTCTTTTAGCTCTTATTATTTTGACAAAACAAGTAGACAAAACTAAACAATTAAACACACCCAGAAAAGTAAAACACGTAAAACAATAACAACAAAACATAGCTTAAGAAAACTAAATTTGCAGACCCCATACCCCTCTCTTGTCACGTCTGGATCATTGGGCCTGCAATTTTACTTTCAAGTAATTATCATGACTGTTTTCCTTTTTTCTTCAACAATTTTGCATTTTTCTAGTTTTCTTTGTTTCTTCTTGCACCTCCTCAAGGAAAGAAAGCCGTAAAACAGGTAATTAAACAAGTTCGTCCCAACCCGGACGTTGCTCCACACTTACAATGGTCATCGTCATCGTCATCATCATCATCATCATCATCATCACCATCATCATAATCATCATCTTTATCTTCATGAGGGGTCAAAATTCGCCACCTCCTCTGAACAATATGTTGATTGGGGTAATAACATCAACTTTATCTTCATGAGGGATCAAAGTTCGCCACCCCCTATGAACAATATGTTGGTTGGCGTAATAACATCAACTTTATCTCCATGAGGCATCAAAATTCGCCACCCCCTATGAACAATATGTTGACTGGGGTAATAACATCAACTTTATCTCCATGAGGGATCAAAATTCGCCAACCCCTATGAACAGTATGTTGATTGGGGTAATAACATCAACTTTATCTTCATAGCCACCTGAAGTCAGACGCCGAGCAACGTCAGGATTGCAGCGAACAAGTTTGACACAAGTAAACAAGAACGAAAAAAACTATATAAAAAGAAAAAACATGCAGACCCCATACCCTGCTCCTGTCACATCTGGATGTTGGGGTCTGAGTCTGCAATTTTATGTTTTTTTTTTTTTTTTATCGTTTTTTTTTTTTCCTTACTTAAAACATATTTTTCTTATTTTTCCCTGGCTTTTAGCAGGATGAAATCATATCTCATGATTTTTAAGTACATTTTGACAGGTTTAGAGTCGATTTTAAATGATTGTAGGTAGACGTGCTTTTAAGTAGATGTTGAATGGTTTTGAATGAATTATATATATATAAACATATTTTGCCTGATTTTACTGTAAGTTGATTTTGAAAGATTTCAAGTAGGTTTAAGATTTAAATTTGTTTTTCATTCAGTGGTTTCAATAGATTTCGAAGGATTTTGAACAGATACTAATTGATTTTAAGTAGGTTTTGAAGGAATTTTAAGTTTTGAGTAGATCTGAAGTTATTTTATGATTTGAGCAAGATTTGACGGATTTTAAGCAGATCTTAGAGCATTTTTAAGCCATTTTGAGTAGATTCTTTGATGATTTCAAAATAGATTTGACACCCTTAATGTAGAATTTACTTGATTTACGAACTGCACATGGGTCTTTTCACGTCGTCGGAGTAACAACTCTGTTCACTCGTTTGGCTTGCGATAAAGGCTACGTACTGCGGAACCTCGTGGTTATCAGTCAAACGCTTTCTGTTCTTTTTTCCTATTCCATTTCTTCCGTTCTTTCGCTGTGTTTGCTGCTGCCTTCGACAGAGGTGTGCGTACCATACCCAAAACCGTCTGTGCCATCAACAAACCACGTTCTTGGTGGGCAACAGATACATGAGTGACTTGCATGGCTGGCACTTCCGTGAACTCCAATTCGGGATTCAACGCCCACAATGTTGCAACGACCATTTTGGTGTTGTATACCGCATACCCCTGATTTCTTCGCCGTAGCCTTGATATCTTCGCCGTAGTTCCCGTGCGTGTGCGCAATATGTTTTTTTTTTGCTACTTTTGCGTCATCTGTGGTTCTCTTTCTCATTCTGGGGTGGGGACCCAGCTGAACGAGTTTAGCATACCATACCATACCATTTGGACCGGTTTAGTTACAAAGCCGGACCAAATGTTTCCAAGGAAAGTAGCAAGAAAAACCATATTCTATTTGTAAGTCCTACGCTATAAGTGATAACTTTTGCATCATGACCGCCTTTGTGACCCTTGATTTTGGTCTTTTGGTCCCTTCTCCTAAACATATGTGTCTATAAATACACATACTGACACATATACGCTTACACACACACACACGCACACCTATACATATTATCATATAATGTACAAAAACAATTCATATACATATGCTTTTACATATTACATGTATGTAAACATATATGTATGCATATATGTGAATGTGTATGTGTCATTCACATATTCACATATATATATATACACACATACACATATTTACATTCACGTGTGCAATACATTTATACATACACATGCAGGTGCATATGCATATCCGTATGCACATCCTGATGACATATATATATATATACATACACATACACATGCACATACATACATATTTATACATACATTCACAGATGCATATGGATATACATATACTTCTGCATATATACCATATTTATTTTCATGCATATACATATGCCTGTAAATGTCAAAATTCAGAAACGCTGTTTTTCACCGGATTCGTGTTCTTTGAAGAAACATCATCGTTTTTGGGAACCTGGTTGAGGCCAACTTCTCAGAGGAGGTGGAACAAGCTGCATGGCCACCCAGACCTTTCGCAGCCGTCCAGATTTGGTTCACGCCTTTGGAAGCGCAGAGGCTGGAGACGTGTACTTTACTGAGGAGGAGATTGTTGGTTGGACAGGAACACAGGCCCAGATTGGCAGCGGGGCGAACTCAAGTGACAACTGGTTTTTGACAGAGACGTCAGCACTTTGCAGCCATATAATGGAAAAATCGTTGATAAGGTTTGGGCAAAGAAATCCTGAAGTTTAGCTGATGCTTTTGAGTAATTGCAGAAATTATTAAGAATGCTCTGATGAAGTTTTCTCATCAACCTTGAAAGTTTCAAAGAACTGTTGATGCAAACGCAAACCCGTGGCTCCAGGCCGTCCTTTGGATCCTCAACGCGGGCCATGCCTTCGAGGTTTGGTGACTCAATGGCGGACAATCATACCTGCGAATGCATTTCCATTTTGTTTGAACATATTTGAAGATGGTTAGAGACATTTGTGGAAAATGGGAAAAGGACTCAAAAAGGTGCAAACTGCCATTCCCAGCCTTTTTGAACTGAGAAAAGGGAAGACAGCAGGCTCGGCAAGTCAGCAAGGCCTTGGCGGTTTGTAGCTTTGGGATCTTTGGGCCTGACCGCGTCCGGCACGAGACGGGGCACACTGAGCATGAAAAGGTGCTGGGACTGCGACCGAAGAAATTTGGCAACGCCTTGTTGAGACGGCGCTTTTTGAGGCGCCTTGGTGGGCTGTGGTAGTGACGCGAGTTGCATTTGTTGGAGATTTGGGGCCTTCTATGTACTCTATGTATTTTGTGTGCAAACAATCTCAAACAATTCACTTCTTTATCTTCTTTTCACAGGTTTGTACGGTTCCGTACGGTTCCCTTTCTTGGGATCTTGCTCTGGGTGAAGACTTCGAGTTGCTGCCGCAGATTGTCGCTCCTGACTCACCCAGACAAGAATCCGCACGAGGAAGCTGCATCGGCAGGGATCTTGGTTGGGAAGGTTGAAGAGATTCATTGAATAAGAAGTTCTCAGGGTGTTCTCTTTCTTGCTTACAAATTCATCTCAAGCAAAGTCATCGCACACAATGTCACAACCAGATGTGTCGGCTCAGGCATTTCGAAAACTCTCGGACAGCATGAGGCGAGTTGTGTGTTGCGTGCAAAAAAAAGACATAAAATCCAGCGTGACATGCAGGCACAGATCCTGGCGCAATACGGAAGCAACGCAGTTGGATACATCAAGTGTGGGGTGGGATGATGCAATGTCTTCTACCTTTACTCGGCTTCAATTCAGAGTTCCTTCCAATAGGCTACCTCCCTCCAAGTGCTCAGCCATGTCTCTCTGTTGAGGGTTTTGACGAGCGAGAATGGACAAGAAGATCTCCTGCAACTGGACAAAGTGGGACTTCGGGTGGGCTGCGATCAAAACACGGCAATTGAATGCAATTGGCCTTCAATTGGCCAATGAATTTGGATGACTTAGAACATGATGTGTCAATAATTCTCTTTGATTGTGGTCAAGAGGAACGTCACTGATGTTTCATGGTGCTGGTGCTGGAATCAGATGCGCAATATAACTGTTTGATCTGCAGCGGTGGAACTGGGAGCTTCATAGCTCAGGCAAAGCCTCTTCCCAGGGTGCGCTAGTGCTGCTAGTGGGATCAGTGGATGGACTGGGCATTACAGTTTGAGGTCGAATGGGAGCAATTGGACCGGTGAAACATCTTGGGAAATTGGAGCCCAAGAGAACTCTCATGCAAATTCCTCAGCTATTAGCACTGCTGTAGCGCTCCAACTACCAATGTGTTGATGGACATAGCTGTTCCGATTCTCAAAAGATGGTTTCCTTTGTGCTTTTTGATGCTTTTTGTATGGGGGCAGGTAGGGAATCCCATGAGTTCTGCATTTCTAGCAAGTGTACGTGTGTTGTGATGGCACTCATGGCCGCAGCCATGGCTTGGACGTGATACTGAACTGTCACACATGGATGACCGGTATAGTTCAGTAGAGTTAAACTGTTGCAACATCATCACTCATCATGTAGCTGTAGTTTATATCAATTGTATTTGTTGGTTTCAGGCCCTCTGTAAAAACCAGGACTGAAACTTAAACCCTGTGGACTTCAGCGAAAGGACGATCTTAAGCACCAACAATCTGGCCAAGAATTAAGGCTTGCAGTCTTCCATTTTCTTGCACAAGTTTTATGGTCATAAAACTCAACTGCCTGCAGACATAGGGCGAATTGGAGTGGCAGGAGATCCCCGCATCACGTTTCGTAACAGGGAGGGCTTCGCTGCATAGCCATGAGTGCGAGTCGGGCATGAGCGCCTATTACAAAGAGAAGAAGCGAACTCCAACTCCTGATGCGAGGTGTGCCATGGTGTGCCATGTAGCTGGATGTCGGATAGGTGGAGATGATTACAAAGGGATATTATGACTGAGTGTATAGAGATGTAAATATGCAGTTTCAAGAATATTTCCCCAGGTTTAGCCTGGTACTAGTCACTCGTCCTTGCATTTTAAAGAAAGGCTTCCGGTTGCTTCTGACGATAGCTGTTTCTCAACCAAGTTTGCCACTGTGACAAGTGATTTCATGTGATTTCACCAAGTTGTTCAGACTAAGCGCAGACCAGTGTCCTGCACGAGGGTTGTGGTTTGGCTGGCCCCATTTTTGACATGTGGGTGCCCCGCTTTTTTGATACACAAAATGCGCTTGATAAAGAAGGAGACTGAAGAATTGTGGCATGGTTGCAGCAACGCAAAATTGAGACTGACGAATGCATTCTATAGGAGCAACACTTATGCTTTCTTTTGGAGACGATGGAAACGAAATGCTAATGGATGTTGTCGAAAACTGCCTGTACCAAAATGCAGGTATTCCGTTTTCCTGCTCTGCAGATTCATTTGCTTATATATCTGCGTTGTGCACTCTGCAGTGGCTCCCACTAGCTCTGGAGCCCCTGTGTTCTATTTTTATTTTTAACCACTGGTTCATAGGTCTGTTAGCGACTCTCTCTCTCTCTCTATCTATCTACCTATCTATCTATCTATCGATCGATCTATCCATCGATCTATCCATCGATCTATCCATCGATCTATCTATCTGTCTATCTATCTGTCTATTTTTCTTTCTATCTATCTATCTATCGATCCATCCATCCATCCATCCATCCTATCTACTCTAATCTAATCTTATCCTATCTGATCCTATCATCTATCTATCCTATCTCATATAATCTAGTCTTATCCTATCTTATCCTACCTTATCCTATCTTATCCTATCTGATCCTATCTTATCCTATCTATCTCTCTTTCTTATCCTATCTATCTCTCTTTCTTATTCTATCTCTCTTTCTTATCCGATCTATCTCTCTGTCTTTCTGTCTATCCATCCATCCATGCATCCATATATCTAGCTATCTATCTATCGATCTATCTATCTATCCATCCATCCATCCATATATCTATCAGTATCTATCTAACTATCGATCTTTCTATCTATCTATCTTTCTATCTATCTATTCTATTCTAATCTATTCTATTCTATCCTATCTAATCTAATCTAATCTTACTTAGTTTTATCTTTTCTTATCTTATCTTATTTTATCCTATCTATCTAATCTACAAATCAGTCCATCTATTAATCTATCTATCTACTGCATCTGTTTGTTTGAGAAATGGCTTTATTTTGCACATGTGCAGTAGTCCCTGGGTGGAATGGAATTACGTTCAGAAGGAATTAGGTTCAAACTGAAGAGTCAGAAAAGAGAAAAGACTAGGTGCGGCGTTGGAAACCAGGTGATGGAATGGAAAGCCAGGTAAGGTCGGCGTGATCTTTTTCAGCAACCTCAAATAACTTCTGTCGCTACATACATCCATACATCATGCATGCATACATCCATGCATCCATCCATCCATACATCCATACATCCATACATCCATACATCCATACATCCATACATCCATACATCCATACATCCATACATCCATCCATACATACATCATACATACATCCATACATACATACATACATCCATACATCCATACATCCATACATCCCATCATGCATGCATGCATGCATGGATGCATACATAGCATTATCTTTGAGGACTCTACATATAACCTATATACAGAATTAAAATAAATTAAACAGTATTATATCTTTGAAGACATCTATTCTCTGTGCCAGGACAGAACCAATTTTGGAAATCCTGCGGCGCCTGGATACTTCGGGGACTGGAGCCTTGACTGAGGGCGGCCCGTCCTTAGATTCCTCGGAGCCGGGTGGCGTCTGGTCACGTCGTGTCGCCAAGGACTTCTTCAACGTCAACGATTGGTGAAGTTGATCCACGGCTTGGTGCCAGAGATGTCACCACAGTCCATCGAAATGTTGCTGGTCTACTTGAGAGACTTTGTTACCTACTGTTTATTTTCATTCTATTCAAGGGGAAGCGATGAAGATAGTGAATCTGTGGTTCATTTGCACGTGCGGCAAAGACTCTGCATGCGTTTCAGAGCGGGTGTGCATATCCCATGCAGTGCCGGTAATAGCACAGCAAGCCAATCCTGCCACCCAGATTTGTTTGACCCATTCCCATAGTGAACAAGAGCGTGGTGTAGCCTCATGATTTGGTCAGTGCTCATGCCTAAACCATCTAGAACCACCTAAAACCATCTAAAGCCATCCAAAACATCTTATTATTAAACCATCTGAAATTTTAGAGGACCTATCCTCCTGAAAATGGTCAAATGGTCAGAAACGAACAGAGTAGCCGAGTAGCTACATGCCAAAAGCTGAGGCTGATGGACTCCAGCCTCCATGCAGATCAGGTGCCCAGAGATTGGTGTGTTGGTGGCATCCGTCTCCCAATGAACCGATGAACAGTTTCAAAATGGAAGGGTCGAAAGTGTCATCAAAATTAGCATTTTCTGAAGATGTATACATTGTTGCTCAAGTGCTTCCGGTTTCTCACTGCTCATCAGTTTTTTCAATGCCGTTTCGCTAGACCTACATCCTAATTCTGTTCAGTCTTGTTCTGAGTGTTTTTCAATGCCAATGACAGGCTGCAAAGCACTCGAAGCACTCCAAGCACTCCACGCATTCCGCACACTTCACGCCAGGTGAATGTGCGATACCAGGAGTTCATCACTTGGCTTTTCGAAGGTGTCACTGCACTGCGCAGACCCAACGAGAACTTGGAAGGCTCTATCTCTGTGGCAACCTGGAATGTGGCAGCTGTCACTGGGCGCGTGTACCATGTCACTTTATCAATACATCTTCACCCAGGCGACAATTCCAGAAATACTGTATACAGCAGTAACATGACATATCATGACATATCATGAACTACCAGTAGTACCGCACAAGGCGGTGGCGGAAGTTTCAAAGATAGGAAACCTATAGGAGAGGTTGGTTGTTGTGAATCACGGATGGCAGAGCGAATCCACAGATGGACCGAAAGGTGGTTGGAGTTGTGTTTCTTCGAGTGGTTGCAATGTTGCAGTGGTCACCTCACCACAACTGCTGGATGTAGTTTGGTGTGGTGCAGTTGTAGTTGTAGTTGTAGTGTAGTGTAGTGTAATTAGTGTAGTGTAGCGTAGTGTAATGTAGTGGTAGTTGTAGCTGTGTTTGTGGTGGTGGTAGTAGTAGAAGTAGTAGAAGTAGAAGTAGAAGTAGGAGTAGAAGAAGAAGAAGTAGTAGTAGTAGTAGCAGTGGTGGTGGTGGTGGTAGTGGTAGTGGTGGTGGTAGTAGTAGTAGTAGTTGTTGTTGTAGTTGCTGTAGTTGTCGTTGGAACGCAATTAGTGTAGTGTGGTGTAGTGTAATTAGATGTAATTAGCGTAGTGTAGTTTAATTAGTGTAGTGCAATGTAGCGTAGTATATTCGTATTTGTAGTAGAAGTAGTGTAGTGTAGTTGTAGTTGTAGTTGTAGTTGTAGTTGTAAATATGTATCTATGTATCTATGTATCTATCTATCTATCTATCAATCTATCTATCTATCTATTTGTCTAGCCATCTATCTATCTATCTATCTATCTATCTATCTCTCTATCTCTCTATCTCTCTATCTCTCTATCTCTCTATCTCTCTATCTCTCTATCTCTCTATCTACCTGTCTGTCTGTCTGTCTATCTATCTATCTCTCTCTCTCTCTCTATCTACCTGTCTATCTATCTGTCTATCTATCTATCTATCTATCTATCCATCTATCCATCTATCCATCTATCCATCCATCTATCTATCTCTCTCTCTCTCTATCTACCTGTCTATCTATCTATCTATCTATCTATCTACCTTTCTATCTATCTATCTATCTATCTCTCTCTCTCTCTGTCTGTCTGTCTGTTTGTTTGTCTATCTACCTATCTGTAAGCTTGACAACGAAGCTATTCTGCGAGACTTCCTCAGTTTTTAAACTTGACAACATCAAAAACGCAGCAATTCTGCGAGACTTCCTCAATTTTTGAACTTGACAACGTCAAACACAAAGCAAGTCTGCGAGACGTCCTTAATTTTTCAAGTTGACAACATCAAACACGAAGCAATTCTGCGAAACTTCCTTCAAAAATGGAAAGCTGAGTGCAGAGCTGACGGCCTCGTACCAATGCGTTTAGCGAATTTTCCATTCCATGTGTCTAAAGTACTGCGCCTGCCACGAAAAAGTGAGGCCAGGTCATATGAAGCGCTGCACCTGTCACGCAAAATCATCTTAGCAAACCTTAAGATCTGATGCTCTGCAGCCCCTCTCAGGAAATCAGCGCCCTGACCTCCTAACATCTCTGATGAACATGTCTCATGTACCGCGCCTGCCACGCGAAATGCATCTTGCGGATCCGCTTCAAATGTCCTACGCCTGCCATCGTTTTGGAATTTGCTACAAAAATCTCACGTTTTGCTGATTTTGGACAAGGTGCACAATCCCTTGCGTCTGCCACGCGAAACGACATCTGAACGTCCAAAAGTGGTCCGAACATGTGGTGTTTTGTACATTTTGACTTGGAAATGTGCTTCGCGCCACAACGATGTGCACTTTTTCCACATCTCAACTTCCAAAAGTGGCCCCAACATGAAGTGTTTTGTACATTTTGACATCGAAATGTGGTTCGCACCACAACGGCGTGCACTTTTTTGACATCGCAACTTCCGAAAGTGCTCCGAACGCGAGGTGTTTTGCACATTTGGCTTCGAAATGTGCTTCTCGCCACAACGGCGTGCACTTTTCGAACATTGCAGCTTCCAAAAGTGCTCCGAGCATGGTGTGTTGTTTTGTACACTTTGACTTCGAAACGCGCTTCGCGCCACAACGGCGTGCAGCTTTTGATTTCTCGTTTGGCCAGATGGCTCCGCACCCGCCGCTTTAGCGAGCCTACTTTTCGACCCTTTGGAGCCCCAAAACGTCGGAAAAACACAGCGTCGCGCGACTTTTCTTCCTTTTTGCACACCTGCATCTTCTTTCTTCTCGCTCTTTCCTCTTCTCTGGTCTTGTCACTTCTTCTCTTCTCCTCTCTGACTCTTCCCCCCCTGCTTTTCCATTTGTCCAAATGGTCGGAAGTTTGACTTCTAAACTTCCTTCGAATATAAACTGACATCACCAACTGCGGGGTAACATATTTTTTCGATCTGGAAACCTTTAAAAAAGGCCGAGAAAGATCCAAGGCAATTCCCCTTGCCATGCCTTTGTGCCTCTGAGGTGAACAACAATCCATTTGAGTATTGGTTGGCACATGATGATCCCAGCTACACAGCTCAAGAGGGTGCCATAGATCGCAGGACCTTTGGCAGGTTTCGATTGATCCAAAAGATTGAAAGGATTGAAAACATGAGATTTTGCAAACGATCTGAGACAGCTGGGCAATTCTCCTTCAACTCCTATTGGACACCAAGACAGAGCCACTCCAAATTCCTTGAGCCTGTAAAAACGGCATGTCCAAAAAATATGTGGAATGGAAATCCAAGCAGGTTTTGGGAAACACATGCATGACTGTATGACGCACTTAAGTTTGGGTTGGTAGGAATTCCCGCTTTATGGATCTTTATGGCTGGTTGGCTTCTGCATTTCTTGGTTATTGTCGGAAATTGATGAGGTTATGTCAACCTGATGATCGCAGTGGAGACATGCCTCGCATCCCCATCAGAAGCCTGGGATGTGCCCGTCTGTTGCTTGGCACAGACACTCTGTGATTTGGCGGCCATGCCGGCATGGATTCAAAAATTATAATATTGGTGACTTTAGCATATAGTTATGCAGTCTTTGCATGTCCAAAGATAAGGGAGGCCCGCAACACATTCATTTCAGCCGTTGAGGGAGTTTTCTCTCGTCGTTGTTAATCCAGTGTTTCAATAGCCAATAGCTGTTGGACAGATTTGTAGGGATCACTTACTCCCCTGCCTGTGGCTGTTGGTGAGCCATGTAAACCACAAGCTATAGTATTCCGTACTTGAAATGTTGGTGACCAAACTGGCCGTATCCATCAAATGCTGCTGAAAATGGTTCCCAAGGCGAGATCTTCACGGAAGAGATGTTCCAAGAACTGAAGGTGACATGACGGTGACATGCGGCAGTGGGTGTTGTACACAACAATCGCCAGACTCAGTTCATGGAGGAGTTGGACCGTTCATCCAACATTCTCTGCATTTTTTTGCCTGCGAGCCTACAAACCCATTGAAGCACTTGCCCTGGGTCCTGATCCCAGGACCTGATGCTTGAACACGGCATTCATGGAGTGAAAGAGGTGGAGGACTCCGGGAGAGGGGTGACAAGCTATGATGGTTTGCAACACGTGTGAAACTTCAATCTTGTTCCACTGAAAAGGTGTGCCAGGAAGTGCATTCAGAATACTCACTTTTAGCCTTTCTATCGGTGACATCATTGTTCCCAGACCTGTTGGGATTTTGTTCCAGCAGAAAACTGCTACGGGGATTTCAGTACTGCTCCCTCCGTGGGTTTTGATCCAGGAGTCCATGTGGAGAGGGCCCGACTTGAGACTTCGTGATAGACGAGTAGTCGAAGGCTCAGATCCTTCCAGCTTAAAGGTGAAACCTGGGAATATGGGATGCGGAAAGTAAGAACTTCTTAGTGCTGCAACCACATATAGACTTTTTGATATTTCTGCGGGTGATGCTCTAGCAGCATTGCAATTTGCACATGCTTTCTCCTTTCTGAAGAGTTTTCAAAGTTTAATTTGACTCTGTGCATGCTTGTTTGGAACGAAGAAGATCCAAGAATCACTGAGATCTTCGCCTGGCGCCATGGACCGAGGTGTCTGAATTCATCAAAGACAAGTCTTTGGGTTCCAAGCGGCTCATCTCTATGCCGGACCGAATCACCAACACGCAACTGGGCTTAACATATTTCAGTTGAGGTGAGACGGCATGTTGATGAAACGTTGAGGTGCTGCCCTTTAAAGGCATACCCTTTGAGCATTACTTCACCATAAGACGAAACTGACAGTTTTGCGTTGTTCGCTCATGTACTTACACGTGTGTAGACATATACATATACATATATACATATACATATACATATACATATATACATATACATGTACATGTACACATAATTTACACATATATATATACATATGTACAGTTTATATATATATATATTTATAAATATCATACATCAATAAATCTCTATCTATATATGTCTCAATACATACACATGATATGAACATATACAGTGTTAGATACGTCATCACACGCACACATTTATATTTATAACAGAGTTCCCAAGTCTCTAGGATGAAGGGTTTCAAACTATTTTTTAATGATTTATTTATGTTTTGGATACGAATTCCATGCATGATTTTTTTATGGGTTCAAATTGTGGTTATGTTTTTTTTTATGGTTTGGGTACGACTGGAAAAATCACTTATGTTTTTGTTTATGGTTTTGGATATGATTTATTTATGGCTTTGGATATGTTTCTTTAATGGATCTGGATGTTTTTTTTACGATCTTTTTTATGGGTTTCGAAATGGTTTTGGCCAAAACCGTACCAAAATCGTAAATTTCTCGAGTTTTTGGCTAAAAAAACGATTCTAGGGACCTTGGTGGTATTTACGTTTTTTTTTTAAATGTTTTTTTTACGCTTTTGGTACGGTTCCCTACGAAAATCGTAAAAAAATCGTAAGCAAATCGTAAATTTCTCAAGTTTTTGGCGAAAAACCAGGTTCTGGGGACCTTGGTTGCATTTACGATTTTTTTACGATTTTGGCTCCAAATCAGGTTCTGGTGGTGGAAAGGCTTCTGGGAAAGGGAAGCCCCCTCAAAATCGTAAAGAAATCTTAAAAAAAGAAACGTAAATTTCTCGAGTTTTTGGGAAAAAATCTAGAGACCTTGGTGGCATTTACGTTTGTTTTACTTTTTTTTACGATTTTGGTACGGTTCCCTACGAAAATCGTAAAAAAATCGTAAGCAAATCGTAAATTTCTCGAGTTTTTGGCGAAAAACCAGGTTCTGGGGACCTTGGTTGCATTTACGATTTTTTTACGATTTTGGCTCCAAATCAGGTTCTGGTGGTGGAAAGGCTTCTGGGAAAGGGAAGCCCCCTCAAAATCGTAAAGAAATCTTTAAAAAAAAAACGTAAATTTCTCGAGTTTTTGGCAAAAAAATTCTAGGGACCTTGGTGGCATTTACGTTTGTTTAAAAAAATCGTAAACAAATCGTAAATTTCTCAAGTTTTTGGCGAAAAACCAGGTTCTGGGGACCTTGGTTGCATTTACGATTTTTTTACGATTTTGGCTCCAAATCAGGTTCTGGTGGTGGAAAGGCTTCTGGGAAAGGGAAACCCCCTCAAAATCGTAAAGAAATCTTTAAAAAAAAAAGTAAATTTCTCGAGTTTTTGGGAAAAAACTAGGGACCTTGGTGGCATTTACGTTTGTTTTACTTTTTTTTTACGATTTTGGTACGGTTCCCTACGAAAATCGTAAAAAAATCGTAAACAAATCGTAAATTTCTCAAGTTTTTGGCGAAAAACCAGGTTCTGGGGACCTTGGTTGCATTTACGATTTTTTTACGATTTTGGCTCCAAATCAGGTTCTGGTGGTGGAAAGGCTTCTGGGAAAGGGAAGCCCCCTCAAAAATCGTAAAGAAATCTTAAAAAAAGAAACGTAAATTTCTCGAGTTTTTGGGAAAAAATCTAGAGACCTTGGTGGCATTTACGTTTGTTTTACTTTTTTTTACGATTTTGGTACGGTTCCCTACGAAAATCGTAAAAACATCGTAAGCAAATCGTAAATTTCTCGAGTTTTTGGCGAAAAACCAGGTTCTGGGGACCTTGGTTGCATTTACGATTTTTTTACGTATTTTTTTTCAATTTTGCTTCAAAATCAGGTTCTGTGGTGGGAAAAGGCTTCTGGGAAAGGGAAACTCTACCAAAATCGATTAAAATCAAAAATCGTATTCAAAACCATAAAAAAACATATTCAAAACCATAAAAAAAACATAAGTCATTTTCCCAACCATAAAAAAATCGTATTCAAAACCATAAAAAACAATAAGTCATTTTCCCATCCATTAAAAAAAACATATCTGCAAATCATAAAAGAATCATATTGAAATCGTAAAAAAAATATTTGCCAAAAACGGCATCCTAAAGGATTTAAGAAGTCTGAATAGAAACATGTTTTCATATTCAACCATAGAAACAGATAAACACACACACACACACACTTGCAGGCAGACAGATTGGACCATTCAGTGGGTACGGCAGCCATGGCCCTTGTGCCTAGGGTGCAAGTCGTGACCAGAGCGCCCAGTGAGTACAAGCCACCGCCTGCTTGTCGACCATCAGCAGCTTGTCTTGGAAGAAACTCTTTGCCAGATATGCCATCTCACCAGATCATTAGAAATCTTGTGGAGCTGGTTCCAGTTGTGCTCAATATTTACTTGCTAGTGGCAGCGGTCAATGAATTGCTTGACTCCGCTGAGGTCATCAACAACTATCTTGGAGACTTGGATGAAAGTTCATTCTTGTTTGTTGTTTTCCTCCTAGATCTCTGGAAGTAATTCAGTGAATCACATTAGGTTGTTGGCTTTGTTAGCTTTAGGCTTGTTGGCTTGGTTTGCTTCGGAGCCAGCGACCTACTGGCATGCTTTGCATCGCTTGTCTCAGGTGATCTTTCTACTCTGGAAGCCTGGTGGGAATCATGGAAGAGGTCTGGGGGAAGAGGAACGTTTGGAATTGCTGTGAATATCTTTGATTTTCTGATGGAATCAGCCCCAAATGAATGTACAGAATGAAACCCTCTGGATGCTTGGCAGTCGATACAAGAAGCAGGGCAGAGTGTGGCGGGACCCCTCCATCGAACCCTCTGCAGCTGTTTGCAGGTTCATGTTCCTGGAGTCACTGGCGGTGAGGCCGTCGATGGTGACCGTTTGCAGTGTCCAAGTTGTGACCACTTCTTCGACTTATCCGACTCATCCTACAGATTCCTACAGATTTACAGCTTCGGGACTGGTCAGGATCGAACATGGCTCCCAACATGCGCTTCTGTCTCCCACACGCCAGGACCCAGCAGGGTGTGTCTATTCGGCGGCCCTGCCACATGTTGGAACCTATACCCCGAAGTGGCATGGTTGCAGTCGTCATTCGGTCTTTCCTTGGATTTCCGGATGTGGACGTTGAGAGCCGAGAATAGCCAACATTTGAATTTACTTTGACTAATCCTTGATGCAGGCATGATGGAATCTTCACGTCTGACAAGAACAGTCAAAAATATGGTTCCTGGATTTAGGAGACCCATTGGATCAGATGGTACATATTGGTTCCCGGTAATTCTTGAGCAACAGGTCACACCTAATGCGTCACCTGAGTTGCGCTTCAGACTTTGCCCCTGGCCCATCCTGGAAGATGAGGCAAGTATCCAGCGATCTCTGAGAAAGAGGAGCGTCTCGTAGCTTGCCTCAGAGGCTCTTCAGGGTCTTCATTATGTATATACTGTATATACTGCATATGGATATACATAATTCATACAAGGCTTTCACCAATCGGACAGTTATGGAATGTTCGGATTGTGTGCCTGAAATCCTGCATACCCAAGGCCATTCCTCTTCAAATCCTTTGCCAGGCCATCTTTGCTGCCTGGCGCAGTCCCAACACAAGTTTACACCTTGGCTATATATATATACATATATATAGATTGTAGAGCTTCGCACACCGGCGATGCCATAAGGGCTTGTAGTGTGAGTGTTGGTGTTGTTCATGTGCTCTGCGCGTGCGCCCAGGTGCAGAGCACAGTATGATGTTCTTGTCATACCGCAGTTTGTAACCATTTTGCCACACATCTTTTTTGTCGCATTTTTGTGCTTCTTCTTCTTCTTCTTCTCGTTCTTCTTCTTCTTCTTCTTCTCGTTCTTCTTCTTCTTCTTCTTCTTGTTCTTCTTCTTCTTCTTCTTGCTGTTGTTGCTGTTGTTGCTGTTGTTGCTGTTGTTGCTGTTGTTGCTGTTGTTGCTGTTGTTGCTTGTTGTTGTTGTTGTTGCTGCTGTTGCTGTTGTTGCTGCTGCTGCTGGTGCTGTTGTTGCTGTTGTTGCTGTTGTTGCTGTTGTTGCTGTTGTTGCTGTTGTTGCTGTTGTTGCTGTTGGTGGTGTTGTTGTTGTTGTTGTTGTTGCTGCTGCTGCTGCTGCACAGCATATATATTTTCGCATTTTTGTGGACCCTAAAAATCGCCAAATAGGCTGTGTGTTTCGCATATTTTTGAGACCCTCGGAGCAAAAACACTGTACATACCGATGGCTTTTCTGCTTCGGAAGCCCAAAACCAGGGTATTTACGACATTTTTTTTTTCCCTCTGGTAGCAAAAATCACGGTATTTACTTTTTTGTTGGCCAGAGCCTAGCAAAAACACTGGTATTTGCACAGTTTTCACCATGTTGCAAGATGTAGTTTCTAGATGCGAAAAAGACAAAACACTGTATATTTTACGATGTTTTTGCTTCCCGAGCGCAGCAAAAAATTGTCAACAAATTGTGCAAAAACGGCCCAAAATCGACTTCCCCAAGCATCGTATAATTTTAGCATCTCTTTTCCCAGCCCCGGACCCCCAAAAATGTGAAAACCCCAGCAGAATGAGGGATTTTGGGGAGGTCGCCACCAAGGGCGCCCCCGGGTACCTGAAGCCAGCGAGTAGCTACACACCTCCTACGGCGACGCATCGGGCGTCCAGCTCCAGGGCGGCACTACCGGACAATACCGAGCGTAGCTGTGGAGCGACACTTTTTCTCTGACGCGCTCCCCCGGTGGTTGGCAGGGGTCGGCGGATATTATATGTAAATCCGGATATATATATATATATATGCCTCGCCGTAGGAGGTGTGTAGCTACTCGCTAGCTTTAGCTACGTGGGGGCGCGTCCTTGACGGCGACCCTCGTATGAGGGAACTTTAGGTCCTATGTGTCGAACCACGGTGCTCAGCTAGAATCCCTTTATTGTAGCTTTGGATTTTTTTTTCATTATTCCTTGGGGTTTTTGCAACTTTCCTCCAAAATCTCAATTTTCCCTAGATAACAATTAAAGAAAAACCAAAGCTCCAAGAAGAACATCTCCAAAAAACCTAGGGAATAATTAAAGAACTTAAAAAAACATTGGTATTTTTCAATTTTTTCAATTTTTGGATTTTTAAACTAATTGAAAAAAAGTAGATTCCAACTTCTGGCTCCCGGATCGTCCATAATGAATTAAAAAGTTCAAAAATTGAAAAGTTGAAAAACCAATGCTTATTTATTTTTTATTTTTTTAAAATTATTTCATAGGGTTTTTTGAGATTCTCTTCTTGGAGCTTTGGATTTGTTTTTTTAAATTATTTCCTGGTAGGTGACGATCACCTCTTCCCAATTGAATCACCAAAGCAAAGAAAATCTTACCGTTGGTTTTCGTAATTGATAGAATACTACAGTGAATCATGTGTTGAATTCACGCTGAGTCTCGTCTGCAGTTTTTTTTGGTTCTCCTTTTCCCCTTCCAATTAGCTGGATGCCATCGTCTCGTTGGGAACGGCGCTGGAGGCCATGATCTCAGCGCAGCTGAACTTCTTTTGGCGTATGGTGCCTCCCCAAACTTGCAAAATGGTTGTGGAGATACAGCAGCGCACCTAAGAGCACAGGATCATGATGCAGACATGCTTGGTCTGTTGCTGGGCTGCGGCGCTGATTTTCTCTTGGACAACAACATGGGGCAATGTTGGTTCACCTTGACCCGCACACAAGAGCAGCCAGCCTTTGCAACAGATGGCAAAGTGTGGAATGGCGTCACATCCTATCGCAAGTGCTGTCGCAAATATAGGAGGTTTCACACCACTCGGTTCAGTAAAGTGTGCTTGCATGGCATTAGCACAGGGAAGGCTTGCGCCCATTCCCCGAGATGTCTTTGGCGGATCTGCTCCAAACTCTTGATGAGTCAGTTGCATCACTGCTCTCAATTAGCGGCAATACTTGTGCTTGCGTGCTGCCAGTCATTGAGGAGCAATATGGAGCAATCAGATGTTTGTGGTGGGGCTGTGGCAGCTGAGGAGCCTGTATTGAACAAAGCTCCTGAAGTATGGCTGCGTCTATGCCACAACCGCGCCAAGTGGAAGATAGGCCGGCCAAGACACGGCAAGAATTTATGGAGTCGGGGTTAACGGCACAACAGGATGCCTACTTCTTGGAATCCATTGTCAAGGCCAAGGAAAGGCGACAGTGGTTCCAGCAGTGGGATGCATCAATGCCTCCCATGATCCGACAGAGGTTTGGCATTCATCACGGGCAACGGCGTGGAGTCCGCAGTCCACTGCTGCGATCGCTCCGTCGTGTCGCTGCCCGCGGAATGCCCACAAGCCTTCCTGGAGAGTGATGATGTCCGGTTTGATTGGCTACAAATTTGCCACCCACATCCAGGAGACCGAAGCATCCGCTTTGTTGCGGAAGGTCACAAATACTTTGTGGACAACAAGCCGTTCGATCTTTCTGTTACTGGCTTTGTCAGTACCTTTTCTGAGGACTCTGTTCGTGTCCAGGGCGTGTAGGTACATGATGTGGTAATGGTTTAAGCATTGTCATGTAAAACGACAAGATGAGAAGAATTTCCGGGAACAAATTGCCAGGAGTTTGACGCCGACAAAGCTATCTAGCAGATGATGACAGGAATGAGGTGGCCACTCGCAGAATACATGCGCGGAGGATGTATCATGTCCCCAGCGGAAATCAAGAGCCAATGGGCTGCAAACGCTGAAGCGGCATGGCGCGCCGGTACCGGGACACTCCGGCAGTGCGAATGCATCTTGAATGGCGGTGCCATTGCTGGATCCTGCCGCGAGACCATGCTCCTCGCTGCATTCCTTGCTCGTACACGGCCGCTGCTTGCCAATCGTACAGAATGGTGCATCTGGGCTAGCGACGAGGAGTTGGCAGGTTGTATCGATTTCGCAGCCATTGACGAGAAGGGACGCCTTGCGTGCCTTGGTTTCAATGAGATAGACATGCAAAGTGTGCCAAAGTGAACAAATGGTTTCAGAGGGAACGCCATCTGCTTCATTGATGCCTCAGGCTAGTTGACTGGAAGTGCACCAAGAATTTACAGAACAAGTTCCAAAACCCTCGGCGCGCACTGGCGGAGCCATTGGAGCACTTATGTGAAATACCACTTGCAACTTGCAACTCAACATTTACCGGTTCATCATGGAAAAGTATTACGGGTACGTAGTTTTTTCGATGATTGTTGTATGTCTTCACCCTGAGCTGCAAGATGGGCCTTGGGTGGATGAGGTCCCCGCAATACCCGCTGAAATTTGTGCTATTATGCAGGTATGCCGTGACCAGATTAGAAGACAAGGCTGCGGGTCTCCTCATGTATCTCCGACGTTACCAGTGGGTATTTCCGGTGGGGCTGCCGTGACGCCAGGGGCTGAAGATGATGTTGTGGTTGAGGCAATAGCTCCTTCGGTGGAGACACTGACCAACCGGATATTGACGCTAGAGTCTCTCTGCTTGAGCCACGTGGCAAACTTATGGTGCCTTCGCCTTTGGCTGATGTCGGTGAAAAGAAGTGGGCAATATTCTTTGACACGGCCCTCGATGCTTTTGCAGAAGCTTCTGCTAAGGGTAGTCGCACATCTGAGGATGATGATGATGATGATGATGATGATGATGATGATGGTCTTGTTCGAGTCGGAAAGCGTCTGAGTGCCTATCTGCGCCTTTTGCGGCAGAATGCTGCAGCGGCCATGTGATCCAAGTGTTTCAAGGGGAACTTGGGAAACTGCACTTTACTGTGCTCGGAAACGATGGCGAGGAGAGACGGACGAAGAACAACGAGGACAGGGCCGATGGAAAAAAGATTTGGGGGTGTTGTTCGAAGAAAGTTGAAAGTTGCTTTGAAGTCTTAAAGATCCATGTCGTATGAAAAAAGCAACAATGTAGTCTGGACGATATGGAAGAGAATTCGCAGTCGATGCTGCTCTGTGACATGGCGCAGGCGCAGAGCAAGAAGGAGACGTACTTGGAGGAGGTGACGTGGAAGAAGACCATTTTTGCACTACCAGGGGAAGGAGATGACATGGACGTAGAGCCAGACGGTGTCCCTGTTTTTTCTCCACCACATTCCCAGGGATCACCCACCACCGGCGACCCCCAAAAATCCTTCACTCTGCTGGTGTTTTCACGTTTTTGCGGGTCCGGGGCTGGGAAAAGAGATGCTAAAATTATAAGATGCTTTTGGAAGTCGATTTTGGACCGTTTTTTTAAACAATTTGTGGACAATCTTTTGCTGCGCTCCTGAAGAAAAAATCGTACAATAGAGTGTTTTTTGTCCTTTTTCGCATCGAGAAACTACATCTTGCAAAATGGTGAAAACTGCGCAAATACTAGTGTTTTTGCTAGGCGCTGGCCAACAAAAAAAGCACATACCGTGATTTTTGCTACCAGAGGCAAAAAAATGTCGTAAATACCGTGTTTTTGGGCTTCCAAAGCACAAAAGTTCTCGGTATTTACATTATTTTTTGACCCGAAGGTCTCAAAAATATGCGAAAACACAGAATATTTGACGATTTGTAGGGTCCACAAAAATGCGAAAAATGCGAAAATATATAAGTTGAACAACAGCAACAGCAACAGCAACAGCAACAGCAACAACAACAACAACAACAGCAACAGCAACAGCAACAGCAACAGCAACAGCAACAGCAACAGCAACAGCAGCAACAGCAGCAACAGCAACAACAGCAACAACAGCAACAACAGCAACAACAGCAACAACAGCAACAACAGCAACAACAGCAACAACAGCAACAACAGCAACAACAGCACAGCAACAGCACCAGCACCAGCAGCAGCAACAACAGCAACAGCAGCAGCAGCAACAACAACAACAACAAAAACAAGAACAACAAGAATAACAAACACAAGAATAGGACGCAAAAACATGTGTGGTAAGATGGTGACAAACTGCGGTATGACAAAAACATCACACTGTGCTCTGCACCTGCGCGCACGCGCAGAGCACATGAACAACACCAACGCCCACACTTCTATACATAGCCCTGTGGCATCGCCAATGTGCGAAGCTCTACAATATATATATATATGTATGTATGTATGTATGTATTTTTATATGTATATACATATATATATATATATATTTGTATATATTTGTATATATTTGTAAATAAATATATATATATATATACATACCACGGTACAAAACTTGTGGCTTTCATGTGGTTACCAAGGGATGACACATCAACATAAAATTGCAAACATTTGAATTCTGTGATTGTAAATAATCTCTGATATTGCCACTATTGTTCTGACTATTGACAATTCCTATGTTTGTGTGTGACGATTGTCAGGATGCATGTGGGACCGTTCCCTGTGGTGATTCGGTCGATTTTCTCATGGATTGAAAACTTCCAAGGATGCAATCCTCGTACACCTCATGTGCCTCGACCAGCAGGGTGGTGACCGCTGAACATCTTCGCATGTCTTGACATTGATGCAAGTAGGGTTCAAGAACGTTTCACAGGTAGAATGCTTCATCCGCAGACATGCATGGCTCTTTGATCCCCTCAATAAAAGGGGCCATAGGGTCTTGACTTTTGTTTCGTTGGTGTCTTTGTTCGATCTGACTTGATCATATGACGGAGCCTTCCAAAAATTGCATTGACAGGAAAGGATCGGACAGCACGATGCTTCCAAGGCACTACTGTTCACCAGATGGGACATGGCAAGTGGTGAAGAGCCAGATCTGCCCTTTGGCGCAATGCGCTGATCAGCTTCTCCCAGCCGGATGAAGGATTTGCTTCTTGACTTTTCTGCCAAGGTGACCATCTTTATCGCTGCAAGGCCCAAAGGACCATGGAGATTCTTGAGACCAAGTATCACACAGAAGCATGGCAGCAAGGCTATGGCAGCACATGGGTCATAGTTCCCACATCCTCTGAGAGGTTGGAAGGTTTTCCAGAGATCAGCATTTCAAAGTGTCCAGAATTATTAAGGTGGATGTGATTTTCCTCCAAGAGGTGGCCAGCAACTTCTATGACTTTTTCCAGCGTTCCTCCTTAGCCACCAGCTTCCACTGCGTGTTGCCCTCTGGCATCTTGGTGTCATCCGTTCGAATCTCATACACATCCAGAGTTGTATGAACGGAAACCCAGACAAGCCCAGTAACCAATTACTTTTTGGAAACCCAACTGCTGGGTATAAACACACAAGCACACAAGCACTGCCCTGCAGTTCCTGAAGCGCAGTTTATAAGTGTTTTCAGCGGTTTTGACTGTGTTCCTCATGCTTTGCCCTTGCATTGATAAGACTTTGTAACGACATCTAGATGTTTTCTCCAGTGCCAACGTCCATTTGGAATCACTTATGAGATCCACCCAGACTGGATCAACACGCTCGATTTGGTGCCCCGTGCTCGGGTGCCAGGTCCTACCCCCACCTGGGAAGGTAGAAACTCAGAAGAAGAACAGCAATGCAAGGAGGCGATGTTTGTTGCTATCGGACAGATTTCTGCCGGTCTGTACACAGGCAAGGCAGGTCTTGAGCAATTCGGTCTCTAATATTTTTTGGGCATTTGCTGGCTATTGCTGGCAAGATTTTCAAGTGAGCACATGGTGTGAAGTTAGTAGCGCCAGTGGTACTCACGGGATAGTTGTTGAATATTTGCATGCCACATGCATCTGGCAACTCAAGTTCAGATGTGGCAGCCATTTGGCAGACCTATTGGTTGCACCATGAAATACAGCAGAAAGAAAGACATTCCCAGTGCAAATGGGCTAGTCAACTCCAGAAATTGCGCGCGCTCCCACGCCCAGTTGGAGGCTACTGTAAGCCCTGCAAGCTCGGCATTCAATCATTAGAACCGACTTAGTGTCGCGGTTTGAAATTCCCATCCCTTCAGACCGCGTGGCCTCATGAGTTTCGCATAGTTTCGCTATGTTTAGCATCCCGAGGCATGGATGGCAAGCGCGATCAGCAACTCAGTGGTGGTTCATTCCACTTTGATTCCTAGTTCTTTGGGCAAAACATAGCTATTTAAATGGACTTTGATGTCTTGCCCCCAACCAAGAAATGGAACATTTTGAATTCTTCGTCTTAGTGAAACTTTGGTGTTGCTGAAGGAAGCATGCTTTGTTTTTCTTTTACTGATCCCAGAATTGCATGAGATTTCATAAAGGTTTGGTGGATGCATTGATCGATCTTGGACATGGGTCACACCTCGGAATGGCATGAAGAGCATCCACACTCATCATACCAAAACGCGCTCTCAAAATCAACACTGCATCGAATTTAAACAGATGAGAGAACCTCATGGAATTCCTTGTAAATTTGGTTTACAAGTTCATTCAATTTGATATATAGTGAGTGTATATATATATATATAAGATAGTATATTTGATGATCCAGCTTCTTGTATAAATCCACCAATGAAGGCAGTATGACCTCAACCATACCTTTCTTTTCCACTGCTTGGTCAGGAACTCGCTGCTACTGCTGTCCAAGAGATTTTTTAATGACTCGATCGAGGTTCCGCTGGGATGGCTCTACACTCTTTCATGGGAACCAGGGGCGTTTTAGGGCTCTTTTGAAAAGTTGATGGAGGCCACAACGGTTCGGCCAAAAAGATTGAGCACCGCCATATGTGCCATGGATCATGTAATGTAGATCTGCCAGAGATGTTGACAGGACGTGACGGCAATCATTGAGGAATCTATGGAGGATGGTGTGCCTCGGTGCTTTGTTGATTTAAGACTTGACATGAAGTCAAGCTTCTTGGTGACATGGAGACAGGAACGAAGCACAGCATTCTGACTGGCCTTGAGAATTTATAGATGGTTTCCCCTCTTGATTTTTGTGATTTCCAAGTGCCATGTTGCGTAAGTGCATAAGCACAGGAAGTAACGACCACAGGGCATGTTCCGGCACAACTACTTCGCTGCTCACGCCCAGGTGCGTTTGGTTAGCAGCGACCTTGTTGCAGTAGCTGTTTCCAGCCGAGACCAGAGGCGGCCGGGATTGCCTCAGTTTTCCGTTATCCACACGTGGCCCACCGTGTGTGGGGAGTTAAACTCCCATGCTACGGGGGTTTGGTTTATCCCTCTGCATGATGATATATCAGTATTATATATTATATTATATGTAGATATATATATATATAATTATATATTATATGTATATATATATATTATAGTTATAATTATATATATATACGTACACAGTCTATGATCAGTCTATCATCAATCCATGAACAAACCACACTCATTGGACGTCAGGTCATACCTGCTGGCCTCCTTCCACGGTGATACTGCGGGAGCCTTAACCCTACCGCTACTGCGTGCACTCTTCAGCTGTGCAGCCAAGAGATTTCCCAGGCTGGGCCGCAGGGGGTGGAACGGCTGATCATGTTCCTGTTTCTTGTGTGACTTGAAGAATATACCACCCTTCTATCTTGATGTTTGTAGGCATTTCTTGAGCAACAGAAGTACTAAACAAATTCATTCACTCATTGACTGCGAGAAGAACCAGGACCTGGGATACCTCCGTATCATGTAGTTTTTTTTGTCCGCAGGGTCCGAGTGTCAGCAGCAGGCACGTTTTGATCTTGGGCTTGGATGCCAACAGCTATGAACCACCCAAAGCAGAGCAACTGCCCTTCACTAACCTGATTGAAGCTCGGCAAACGTGATGCTGCACTTGGGTCTCCTGTGTGTTGAATGGAGGTGCCTGACGTGCCTTAAGTTTTTTGGGGTCGAGTCATGTTTGAAAATCGAGGGACTGCTGGATGATGGAAGTGGCACATCTTCCCAAGGCCATGGCAGTGAGCCCCCAATGGCCCCAATGATTTTGGATCGATAGACTGCCTGGTCTCAACGGGGAAGTCATGTTGAGTCATCCCCTGGCTAAGGCAGAGGCAAGGTCTCTCCGGACTGTGGGAATGGCTCCGCGGGAATTCTTTGTAATCCCAGACTTTCAGGGCCGTCGCATAGGGAAATCTGGAGGTACGTTGACGAAGCATGATGATTGAAAGTCAACCTATCCCTTTTGGGCATTGATTTGACATAACGTTTGGCTTTGACTGGACTGACTGATTGTGCACTTCGAATCAAGTTACTTCCCATCTCCATACATGACACATACACCATAAGAATTGTAGAGAAGAAGAGATTCAAGGACTGTTTGGGAGAAGACATTTTGACAGCCACTCATCTAGATTTCTCATTGCTGATTAACTACTGTCTGTGAGCCTCCGAAATTTCAGTGAAACTTGTTGACCACCAAACCACGTAGCAAGGGCCTATGGCACTGCACATCACCCCCATCCAGATATTGAATTTCCTGAGGCAAGGTTGCACATGGGAGGGCTGGCTTGTAGCATGTTCTTGTCCTGCAGGCGAAGAAGCTTGGACTAAGTACATGCTTCGGAGATGCTCCTTGGCCAAATCATAGTATCAACATGTCTCAACTGCTATCGGCCGATGTTCCACCTGCAACCTGAGGGTAAAGAGGTTAAGGTTGCGGATCAAGTTACAAGTTCAAATTCTCGGCCATTCCGACGTGTTCTGGAGTTTGTTGGCAACAGTGACTCCAGCCTGGGTTTAGTCCCGCATACTTCAGCATGCACAGGTGGGGGTCCCTGCCAGGCTACATAGGCTGATAAAACTGGACCATTGGATTTTGGGGTTCCAAATTCCAAGAAATTCCAAGGGACCTCAATTTTGGTTTGCCGAGGGACAACCTCTTTGGTTTGCAAAGCCAAGGATCCGGATGTGAACCGATGTCGAACGACATGTTGCGCTCGCACCTCGCTGCAGCCCCAACTCAATAAGGCACGCTTAAGACAAAGCGTCTCTGTCTTCAGCCGAGTTTGATGTGCAATTGGTTGCAGGAAAGGCTGTCAGCAGCTGGGAAGCCTCTCAACTTCTGTCAAGTGGAAGTTTCCATTGGATTTAAGATCCTCGAGTAGTACTCTAATACCTGTCTGCCTGGTGCATCAACAGAATCTTCCGTTGGCCCACCGGCTGGTGACCCCGATAGCTCGAGATATCTCTAGATAGCTCCAGATAGCTCCTCCAGTCCTGACTGAAACCAGGCGATCAGGTATAATGATCGAGTATCTCTAAGCCACTTGGCAGGACATGTTTTCATCCTGTGTGAGGGGATATCAGCCTGCTATCCGCATGTGAGGGGAGGCACGTCTATATAAGTTTTAGGGAAGAAGGGGAAGGATGGTGTTGCTATTGTTGTTGTTGAAGATGCGTGCACATGTACACTTCAGTGATGAATAGAATAGACTTACAATGAGGAGAAGTTTACAAAGCTCTCTCGATTTTGAGGGCACACATTCCCACAACGTGTGGTTCATTTCAAGTCTTTGCATGCAGAGATCTCTCTAGAGAAATCATAGAATGGTTTGGCTTCGGCCTTTGCTGAGGTGATCGAAATCCAAAGGATTTGAAACTTAGCTGAGACTAGTTGTGCTGGGAGAGTGCGCTGGTTTGGAACATCCCATATTAATTTCAGCAAAGGAGGTTGGTAAACGCATCTTGTAGTCCATATTAAAAAAATGCACAGCACACGTACTATCACCATGTGTGCACCATTGTGATGCTATCTCACCTTTTCAGATTTACCAACCTTCCATCGAGATTCGGATGTTCCACCCATACGGATTTCTCGCTTCATTCATCCCATGGCCTTGCACTTCGCTGCTCACAGGATCACCTTCAAACGACAACAGCTGCGGCTGCTTAGCCCAACAGAGGCACACGAAGACTCACGAAGTAATCCTACATGTGCGGACCTAGTACAGCAATGCACCTGAACTGCCACGTGCAATTCTTGCATTGAGGAGAGACAACTTGTCAACTTGAGCGAAGTCGTGTTCTTTAGCATAGGAAATTTGATTTTGACCAGTTTCGGCGATTCCGTGCCAAGATGTGTATGTGTGTGTGTATGTGTGCATGGGAAATGCACCTTAGTAGTACTTGCTGGCAAGTGTGACACGAGATGGCCAAAGCGCATGGTAAAAGCAGCTTGCGTTTTTGACCCATGAATGCCCATGATATCCGCATGACAGGTTGGTCAGATGAACCCCGTCAAAGACAACACGGGACAGCTACGTTACGAGGAGTCAATGAACTTCCCCACCTTCGCAGCTTGGCAAAGCCGTCATTTTTTTGGATGGCTTTTGAATGTTAAGTGAATGTTTCTGAGCACTTCAAGAGGTTCCCCCCAGCTTTTCTTTTGCGCAGCCCTGTTTTGCGTCATGCCGCAATCATGCCCCAAAGTCTGATTTGTACTGAGGACTTTCCCTCTGACCATGCCATTGTTGCCGCTTTACTCCAACATGTGGACGGCCAAAGCTGACCACTGCCAAACACACCCTCGTTGCTGACCGCTGGCCATGAAGTATCGGTGCATGCAAAATCAAGGGACCTCCAGAGCTACCATTGCTACCATGGCCCCAAACAGTGGAAGTATATAGATAGAAGCGCCTTTCCTTCCTATTCTGAAGGGTTTTCCTTTTCTAAGGATTTGGTACCAACCCTCTAAGGGTCCACATAGTTCGACAATTTTCCATACTTATCATTTGTTTCCATACATTCTTGTCTTTTTGAAGGAGCAAAGGAGATTTAATTGTGCTGAAGTCATGAGCTTGTAGAGAGATGGAAACTTAATACAATACATTGTACACGTTGAACTGAACCTAGACGGAACAGAGGCTGCTTATCGGATGGCTACAATAGAATATAGAACAAGTGAACTTGAGTGTTGTTTTGACTCAGCACCTTTCTATTGGCCAGCCTTGCCCCTTCCATGCCTTCACTAATGTTTGGTGCTTCAACGAATTCGTACAGGTTCAAAGGGGATGGTGCTGCAGCATGGGTGGCCCATAGCCAGCGGGGTCGACCAGGATGTGACACGCAATGTAGCATAACGACGGACGCTGCCCGTGCTCCTCAAGGGCTGTCAGGTGGAGCTGAATCTACGAGATATCAAGCGGTAGATGAAACCCTGTGATTCCATTGAGAAAACATCACTTGTTTTGGGTATTGTATTCAGTCTATGGCAGCTCTCTCTGCTTGGTGTTTCACAGAGCTTTTGTGGCTCGGGTGGTTTGCATTGGCGGATCAGCGCATGAAAAAGAAGTACTAATGAATGCCGAGGCGGCATTTAGAGCTGAGAGAAGTTGTATCATCCAAGGATTTTTTATTTCAATGATATGTGAATTGGTCAAAACTTGCGCACATTGCCCAATTGGGGGATGGTCCTGAATCCATATGGATTTATACACACATGAATTCAGGATTCCCATGATGAAATGGATGGCCCCTGGCAATAGCTAATATGTAGCTTTCAAAACGCACGTGTAGCCGGAGGGTCTGTGGTCACGACAGGCCGGCAGCTGCCGAGGCGCTGGCTTTTTATTGCGGGTGGCTCTTTGTCTTCATGGAGCAGACTAGTAACTGGTAGTATATAACTTATATAACCTGTGATGTATGTCTATGATGGATGTATGATTGATAGCATAGTCTGGACATGTTTTCAATAAATATATTCGACTGTCTTGGCATGTCGCTGGCAGTTTGTGCACATGTCCCACATTGTCCCACCATCCATTTCAATCATACAGACAAAAATAAACCATTGCCAGCTGAATTACAGTATCTTGTTTGAGCTGGAGACCCCTTTAAGTACAAGTAGCTGGGTTTCAAGACCTGTAAGTAAGACCCTTTGCTTTGAATTGGTATACATAATGCATTCTTGCTGGATGGTTAGCATCATGGCATGGGGACTCAAACTTTGCTTGCCGCGCCGTTGCCGCCGTTTTC